GCGGCCTAGCGCCCAGCCCCCAGCCCCGTCGTCTCCCCTTCCCCTTGTGCTGGAGAGGGTTCGCCCGCCCGGTTCCCCGAGGCCGTCCCGTGTGCCGGGGCCTGGTCAGAGCCGGCGGTTCCCTGAGGCGGGGCTGGGGCTGGGGCTGAGGGCGAGGGCTGCGGGCCTGGCTTGGGGCGAGGCCCTGGTGGTGCGGGCTGTAGGGCCCTGTGAGGGCTGGGGCTGCAGGGCCCTGCGGTCCGGGTGCGGGGGGGCACTGCCCCGGGAGGCCTCCGTGTGCCGGGCTGGGCGTTCCGCAGCAGCGCTCGGCTCTCCGGTTTGGGGCTTGCTTAGGGTGTCTGTACACCCCAGACTTCTCCAGCAGGCCTTGCTCTCTCCAGAAGTGCTTGTTGATATACAACTATCCTGCTACCTACTTTGCTCCGTATGCATTTCTGCCTGGTTTCTGAGGCTTTTTTCCAATTGTTTTGTTTCCCTTGGAAGTTCCTTTGCACAGAGCCATGGATGATGAGGGGGAAAGCTATGCTTCTGCAGAAGTATCTGATATGTTGGAATCAGTTTCTTTTCTAAACATAGTGGGGAAGCCTTCACCTATGGAGTCAACAGTGTTGTCTAATACAGAGGAACACGAGGTGTGGATTAGTTTTGTAATATGTTTTCTGTTTGTGCTTCTTTTATATTTTTTTTAAAGCTTTAATTCTGGCAAATATTTCTTTAAGAATTACTCTATTTCCCAGTCCCCAAGATGTGTTAGTCTCTTCTACTTCTCATTGCTTACGAACAGATCATAGCTAGTGACAAGTGCAGATGGTCAGTGCTGTGTGATGTGTTGTGCTAAGCTTTTGAGAAGGAAGTAGAAGACTTCAGTAATTGGAATGTAATATGGCCGTACTGTTCCTTTTAGTAAGCTAAAAAAGGATGTAGATCCTTGCTGAAAGCTTGTTAGGTGCTTGGAAATAAAGCCATCTGTGCTTTTTTAGAATGGTAGATTTTCTGATTGATTTCCCTCAGGTGACTTGATTTTGTATGATAAGTGGTACTGGGGTTGTGGAGAGCTCTGGTAAATCCATCTACTGAATGAACAAGTTGCCAAAGTAGGGGACTTTGAAGCTCTTTAAGAAAAGAGCAAGTGCTGGAGGCCTCTGAAAATCTCTCTGCTATTATCACTTCAAGTGGATGGTGGGACCTGTGTATGAGGGGATGGAAAAGCCCACCTTAGCAGCTGCGAACTGTTTCATGGTTGTTACCGTGAGGAAGATGAGGGGCTAGCGCCCGGGTGGTGGTAATTAAGCGGTTTCTTGAGGCTGAGAAAGTCTCAGTCTATTAACTAAACATGTTCTGTACAAAATGGAAGCACAATACTGTGGAGTAACTCTTAGAAAATAGAGCTTGAATTCAATACTGAGGGAGACCAGAAGGTGGAAGCAGTGCAGTTTATGCCTCCGATAGTGTGCTCTTTTAAAATCCAAGTATTGGCTTTGTCATAAATAACACTGATGCGAGGGCACAAAAAAAGAGGTTACTTGAGGACATTAGAAGATGAAGCAGCAAAGGAAAGCTTAGGGTCTGAACTCCATAAGGAAGGAGAAAGTGAGGCATTAAGAGAAAATAGGAAATACTGCATCAGAGATGCATGCTGATATGATTTTGGGGGGTTCTGCTTAAAAACTTGCCATTATAAGTGTGTATCTTTTTTTTTTTTTTAATGAATAGATTTATAAACCTTTGAAGTCTTTCTTACTTGAGGACATTAGAAGATGAAGCAGCAAAGGAAAGCTTAGGGTCTGAACTCCATAAGGAAGGAGAAAGTGAGGCATTAAGAGAAAATAGGAAATACTGCATCAGAGATGCATGCTGATATGATTTTGGGGGGTTCTGCTTAAAAACTTGCCATTATAAGTGTGTATCTTTTTTTTTTTTTTAATGAATAGATGTATCAAGCTTTGAAAGTCTTCTTGAGAGTGAGGCCCTTTTCTGGAGCAGAGCTTGAAAACCATGAATCTCAGGTTTGTTACAGAATTGAGAAATAAGTTTAGTTTTTTTCCTTCCCTAAAGAACACATAGTATTGTAAGCTAGTATTTTCTTGTATAAAAGCCATATGTTGCTTCCAAATAGAATTAGTGGGTGGCTGTATAAATGTAATTTATTGTTTTTTATCATAACTTTTACTATTTTGGGTGGCACAGACATAATGCACCTGCAGCTCTGCAAAATTCCACCGGGTACATTATTTAAAAGTTGATGTCACTCTTGACTCAGTACAGTGGTCAAGAAACAAAAGAGTTTTGTGGGAAAGATTATCCAATTCTAGGAGTAATCCAGGTATAGGACCCTTGAGTTTCTTGAAAATACTTGAATAGTCAACTACCTCATTCAAGGTAACTTACTGCTCATCCTGTCTAATTTCTCTATAACCTCTACAGATGCTTTAGTGTTTTACACACACATATATGTGTGCATGCAAATACACAGAAATACTCCTCCCCCCATCCATTGTGAACGCTGATGTAAATAATTAATTTAGCTTTCCTTGTAGGAAAAGGTCTCTGCAACACCTCTCTCGCTCTTCTCTTTGTGGGGCCTCACAGGCTCTCTGATAGACCTCTTGTTCCTGACTGCTTTGGAGGATTTAATGTTAGTTCTGATTTGCTTCTTGTGACTTGCTTTTAAAAAAATGTATTCTTGTATTTAATCTACTAGAGTTGGAACCTTTGTGGTTGTTGTTTTTGTTTTTTTTTTTTCACTTAGATTATTTTTCCCCTTCTATTTCCATTCACTTTGCCTTAGGCAGTTCTAGTTGAGCACTATGCACTGCCACAGTACTTCCAGTTTGGTATCATTCAGCAATATGAGCTGGCTGTAAGGGTAAATTGATTTACAAAATCAGATTGTTTTAGGAGCTGTTTATCTCAACAATCCTGTTTGTAATGGAAAATTTCTGACTACCTTACCATTAGTCAAAAGACTTCTTAAAAACAAGGAGAGAGCAAAAAAGCAAGTGTTGAAGTTTATACTAGATTTTTTAAAAAGTCTTTATGTAGTTCATGATGAAATAGTTGATCTCCCAACATACTAGCTGTATAACCTATTTTGCATGGTATGAAGGCTCTTTCCTCAGCTTCCAAACACTGTGTATGGCTGAAAGATCTTCAGCATCTTCAGTGTTTTCTACTCTCATAATTGCCACCATAATCTGTGAGAAAGATGCTTGGTAACTAATGAAAAAACCCAACTAAACAAAAAACACTTCCCATGTCTATAATCAATGAGATTAACTTAATTCTTAGGTCCTTTCCTCCTTGGCATGTATAAATTTCAGGAAAAGCATCTTTGTTCCAATTACTTAACAAGAAAAGAAAAATGTAGAACCCTATTTCTTACAGCTGTAGACTGATGCTTTAAACAGAGACAACCATGAGGTTAATTGATCTGTTGTTGCTTTTAGAGATAGTGACTCATGCAAGTAAAGCTTAAGAGCTCTGGGTGAAATTCTGTACTCTTGATATAACTGCCAGTGGTTTTCTTGGAGTTATCTGCTGGGAAAGCAGGGAGTTTGCTTAGGATAGAAGCTATGTGCCAGAAATGCCCCAACTCCTGCACACTTGCCTGCAGGGTTAGCTGGGGGAGATGACAACCGTGATGTGTTACCAGCTCCATTCCAGCTCTGCAGATCTGACTTAGGTCAAGGCTTTTACTCACGAGCGTCCCTGAGGCCAGTGGCAGCTGGTGGCATGTGCTGCAGATGTTGGATTCTTTGTAGCTCTTCAGTACATCCTGACCTGTGTTCCTGCTCTTGGCAATGTGGGAGGAATGTTAGAGGATATAGCACAATAAGCAAGTGACTGGTCTGTATTGAGTACCTTCTTAGGTACTTCTTAGAGCTTCTGTATCAGTTGATAAAGAGATTTGTTAATTGAGAGTCCTAGGAAGAGCAGTACCTCCTATGTCCATGCTACATGTGGGTTATTAATCTTAACAGCTCTGGCCAGCCTCTGAACACAAAATGTCACAGTTACAATCAGTTCTTGGAGCTGCTTCTTCAAGACAGTTTTAAACAATACCGGTGGTTTTGTATTTTTGGTAGTCTGTCTGGTGCAAAATAAATTTTCCTGTGATATGCATTCATCTAGGTAGTAAATGCTGGGTAATTGTATTTTGTCTTTACTTAATTTGAGTGCTATTTCTCAATAAGCCTTGAAACTAATTCAGTTTCCTTCACTGCTGATAACAGCATCTATCAATTCCAGGATAAGGCTTTTTTTACTTAACGTTAGTCATAGCTTGCTTCATACTGGAAATTATTGAAGTAAACCCAGTAAATTTGTATATAGCTTTGTTTTCATAGATGCATAGGGTACTGTGAGCCATAATCACAAAATACCAGGGATTAGAAAGTTTAAAAAAACCCAACCAACCAAAACTCGCTAGAGGAATCCTAGAAAATGTTTAAACCTCTTGGAAAACTCCAGACAATTGTCTTAACTTTGTCTACACTCTGGCTTTCATGTGAAGTGGTTATCTCTGTAGCTGCTACACATCTCAAGAGAGGTTATATGTAAATTTTATAACTGTAGCTTTGGTAAATAGATGGAAACACTACTCTTTTTTTTTTTTTTTAGATAGCGTTCTTCCTAAATAATTGTGTGGCATTTTGTTTACATTGTCATGTCTTTTTAAGGGTTGTATAACTATTGAAGATCCTCAGACAGTCATTCTTAGTGCACCCAAAGAGTCTTCTGCAATGAAAAACAGTGAGAGAGGGATTGGTAATTCTGTGCACAAATTTGCCTTCTCTCAGGTAAGCAGACATTTTCCTAGTTTTTAGTTGCAGTGTTTTTTTTTTCCCCCCACTGTAACGGTAAAAAAAATGAATTTTTTACTGTATCACGCAATGTGATTTTTATTCTCTGAATTACATGTGGTGGTACTTGCCTTAAAACAAACCAGACTGCTTATTATTTGCTCTTAGGCTGTCAAGAAAGCTCCATTACAAGGGAGGTGTCTATTAGATGAGATAAGCTACTTCTTCAGTAGCTCTGTTGTTTTCTTTGATTGGATGTCACAGAAGCTTCTTGTAGGCAAAGTGATTCTGCTGTTCCTGCAGATGCCCTCATTTGGGAAGCCTTATAGGCAATCACCTATTCAAAGGGACTTAGCTGAGCATGTGTTTAGGGACGTGTAGTTTTGAAAGAATAGCAGCCTAACTGCTTAAACCTTCTCTTCTGGAATAAGTTTAACTCTGTTAGCTACTTCAAGAACTTATGTTCTTACAGTATGAAAACAGCTCCAAGTGCTGAGTTGTTTAGATCATTGTAATGCTGATCTTCTCATCAGTTGTGGATGACTGGTACAGAGTGAGGAGGGAGTTGCGCATCACCAGCAGAGCTCTCTCTGTACCCACTAAACATCTGTATTAGCAGTGTTTATGTGCTTAGCAGTATTGTGAGCAGTTTACTTTGGGCAGAGGAAAATATTAAAAAAATAAGTGCAAGCCTGACTGTCTCTTAGAATTAATCAGGCATCCAACAGCAAATGTTGATTCAGAAGGCGTTCAGGCAAGACAGGAAACTAAGCTGGTATCTCTAACTCAGCTGTCTCTGAAAAACTAGTTGCTAAGAATCTTGGGTGCATTAAGAAGAATGTCTCCAGCAGATCCAGGGAGGTTTTCCTTCCTCTTTACTTGGCCCTGGTGAGACCTCACTTGGAATAGTGTGTCCAGTTGTGAGCTTCCCAGTTCAAGAGGGACAGGGATCTACTTGAGAGAGACCAACGGAGAACTACAAGGATGATTAAGGGACTGGAACACCTGTCTTATGAAGAAAGGCTGAGAGACCTGGGGCTGTTTAGTCTAGCAAAGAAAAGACTGAGGGGGAATCTAACGTGGGTAAATACATGAGGGCTGGGCATCAAGAAGGCAGGGACAACCTCTTTTCACTTGTGCCCTATTGATAGGATGAGGGGAAATGAATTCAAACTTGGGCACAGGAGGTTCCACCTCAACGTGAGGAAGAACTTTACCGTGAGGGTTACAGAGCACTGGAACAGGCTCCCCAGAGAGGTTGTGGAGTCTCCTTCTCTGGAGACTTTCAAGACCTGTCTGGGTGCCTTTCTGAGTGATCTGCTCTAGTTTTTTGGTCCTGCTCTGGCAAGGGGTTGGACTCAATGATCTTTGGAGGTCCTTTCCAACCCTAATATTCTGTGAATCAGTGTTTAGTATTTTGATATGTTAAACTTTGTGCCATTTACCACTGTTTGTTTTTTTTCCTTTTCTTTGCCTTCTCCTCGTTCTTCCTCTCCCTGCCCCTTCTCCAAGGTCTTTGGACCAGAGACTACTCAGAGTGAATTTTTTGAAGGCTCAATGAAAGAGATAGTAAGCGCATACGTTCATGGAGTGAATGGACTGGTGTTTACTTATGGGGTTACAAATGCAGGCAAGACATTCACTATTCAAGGTATAAAATCTTGGCCAGAAAGAATATATAACAACCAAGTAAAAATTCAATAAGAAGTTTGTATGAAGGTCTACATTTTCTCTTTTGTTATTTTTAAGGCACTCCAAAAGATGGTGGTATTTTACCTCGCTCGCTTGCTGTGATTTTCAACCACATAAGGGGAAGACATTACCTGAAGATGAACTTCAAACCATGTTTGAGCAATGATGTTAAGAAACTAGAAGATGCACAAGTCAAGCAAGAAGAAGCCATAAAAACTGCTGTTCTTGCATCGCTGAAAGAGGTCAGTGATCAAATACTATTGTTTCTTTAGATTTGTCTGAATCTGCTTTTGTATACCTAGTGAACCTTGGAATAATAAGGCTTTTTTTGGAGCTCAGGGTAAACTGGAAGAACTTTCTGCAGCAGGCAGCACACAGTTCAACCCAAAACCTGTTGTAAAGCCTGGATTTCCACAGAGCAGCAGTTCTGACACTGTGGTCAGCCATTGAAAAGTCTCTGAAAGCTGAACCAATCAAAAATCTGCTTCTTAAGTGAATCTTTTTCGTCAGGTTTCCAGACTGGATTTCTGGGAATTTGCTCAAATACCAGTACCAGTTCAGGAGGATGATGGCAATGTTTTAGCAGGGACAGCAAAGAAGGCAGCAGAAGAACTGGTGGGAGTATCTTAAGGCAGATTAAAAACTTGGTAAACCTGTCATTTATGTAACTTCATACAGAAACTTTTCTGTTACAGTGAGTGAAGTGAGATGCCACAAAACAATTTCCTAGAAGGATTACAGCCTACTTTAAAGGATTGTATGTATCTTTAACTCTGGTCTCTGAAGATCGTAGGTGGGATAGAGGAGGCTGCCATGGTAAAGACTCCTGTTTGCATAAAGTAGCCATTTATGTTTCCTGTGTAAGAAATGGGTCTTGTCAAAAAATGGACACCCTTGTGCGTGTGACTGTTCTATACTTCTAAGCCAGTTGCAGATTGTTGCAAGATGTCTGGATTTTTTTTTCCTTAAGTTCAAAACATTTTTAACCTGAACTGTGAGTGTACAGCATTTTGGGACTGTTGTTTAAAGCAACTCTGAAGTCTGGGAAGTATAGAAGTAGTAATTGACTAGGTTTCTTTTTTTTTTTTTTTTTCTGTGGTCTTTAAGACCACAGTATTCCAGACAGCTCTGAAAGAATATCCTCCTATGAATCAAATTCATATGTAAAGTTCCACTCTTAATTCGATTGCTTAATTTAAACTCTGCAAACGTTTAGTCTGGTTAGCTTTTGAGGAGAGACCTCAGATGAAAAAAATCTAAAAGACGCTTAAGAATGCATACTTATTTAGCGAAGTTCTTGAAAGCTCTTTCACACTGTGTGTGTGTCTGTGCAGGGAGTGAGAGTCTTGAAAACTGAGATGGTCAGGAGGATAGCAGGTAAATGTTTTTTAAAACTTTATGGAACATACAAGCTTGCAAGAAGGAACAAGCAGGAGCTCAAGGTTTAGAACAGGAGGTAAAATATCTTACTTTGAAGATAAATTTATACTTTACAAACAGTCCTTTCTCTTAAATCACAGACTGACTTTATTAATAGTTTAGTTACTGAATGTTGCAGTGGTGATCTAGATGTTGGTGCGCTACTGTGAAAAGCAAGCAAGACTCCACCATCAGGAAGGAAAGGTAAAAATGCATCTAGAAGATATGCCATGACAAGACCTTGTGTTTGTATTACAGTGCTTCCCTAGTGGTGGCTCAGCTATCCTCAGTACTGAAGCTGCACTTCTTGATAGCTTGTGAATAACATCACTGTTTGTATGTTCACTCAGGCTTGTAATCTGAGAGCAGATACGGTTTGGTGGGCTTTGTTTTGGTTTATGTGGATTTCTGTAGGCCCTTTTCCCAGGCTCAGTTTACATGCCATGCAGAAAGAGCCTGCTGTTCTTTTCATTCTCTCAGTTTAAACTGCTCTGAGTTACTGCAATACCCTGGTATTTAATGTTCTACTGTTTATGTTCTCTATATAGTACCGCTGCAAAAACTGTTGCTCGGTGTGGTTCACACCCTCTCTTTCCTTTCCTTTATTTGTTCCATTCACTGAATTATATTGGTTTTTACTGGATGGAAAGTTGCTTTACTTGCATTCCTATTCCCATCAGTTCTTGTATTTGCTATTAAATGTCAGCTTCTGTTGCTGGCAAGCAATGTCAGATCCTGTTCCCTCTTGTTTTCAGGCAATCATCTTCATGTTCTTTTTAGTCTTATGATTTGAAGAACAGTATAGCAACATAGCTAATTCACTCACTTTTGTTGAAATACCTTTACAAAATTTAGCATGAGTACAAGTACTGGGTTTTTGTGTTCCATTACATTTTTTGACATGCACAGATGTGCCATGCAAATCAGACTCTT